ATCTTTAAGAGATCGAGCATTCCAATTCACAATATTTAATGCTTTAAAATCCATTACTGAATTTTAAAGTCATGACAATATTATTTGCAAATTTTACTCCAGTTTGAATAGCATCAAACATGGAGTTAGATTTAAGCATATCAGAAATCATGTCAATTAATGAATTCTGTAAAAATTCCATTTTGGGGGCAGTAATGCTTCCTAAGTCAAAATTGTCAAAATTTCCGTTAGAACGTTGGTTAGTATTTTGATTTCTACCCGCTGCAATAGCAGCATAGGCAGCTCCATTAACTCGCTGAACATTGTTAGCAGCGAGGGGAGTAGGTACAGATGAAACATTTGAAGCAGGGGAGATATTTGTACCTACGGGTACGAATGTAGAATTTGTTCCTCGCTGACCGTTGTTAACAGCAGAGGAATTTGTACCTGGTCGGAAACGTGGAGCGTTTCCTACCTGACGGTTAGAACGAGATTGTAGGACCACTTTGCGAGTCTTACATTCCCAAAAATTGGATTTGTGGTTTTCACCACAATTTGAACATTTAAATTTCCTAGGATCTTCCTTCACAGGACAGTCGTCCTTTGCGTGAGAGGAATCACCACAATTCATGCATTTAGCTGGCATGTAGCAATTTTTAGTTCCGTGACCCCATCCTTGGCACTTACGGCACTGGGTGAGGTTTTGGAAATTTCCTCCAGTCTTCCTGAAGTGTTTCCACTTCACTCGGACATGGAGCATAAGGCTAGCTTTTTCTAAGGCCTTAAGGTTGTTCAGTTCACTAGACTTGAAGTGAACTAAATAAAAATCATTAGAAATCCCGTTGCGCGAATCGCCAGGACGGGATTTCATTTTCATTTTGATTACTTGGAGTGGCACAACTCCAAGTAATTTTGCCAGTTCATCTTTGATCTGATCCAGGGATTCACAACTGGGCAGTCCTTTCATGACAACCTTGAACACACGTTCAGTTTTGGTGTCGTAAGTAAAAAAGTTGTGCTTCTTCTCAGTAAGATACTTGAGAAGACATTCAAATCCGTCCAAGGTTTCAGCCAATACACGGCATTCACCCCGACGTCCAATTTGTAGTGAAAACTTAACTTTCACGAAATTCAAAAGTTCCATGCGAAGAGCATGGAAATCGGTAGTGGTTATCACAATAGGAGGAATCTTTTCCTTCTTGGCATTAAGCCGGGAAAGTTTACTAGAATTTTTCTTGGATGATGGATCATTCTCATCATCCGTTAGCAAATCAAATTGATTACTCAAATTAATTTCTTCAGAAGGGGGGTCAAGAGTTTGCCCCTTTCTTTTGCGTTTAGGCGCCATGGCGGCAGTAAATTTTTTATCCAAATCGACTTCCAAGCAGATTACTATAAGAATCTGAAGGATCGAAGAGGAATTTTCCAAATCGATATCCAAGAAGGATTACCTCGGGTAGGGTCCAAACAAGGATCGAAGAGGAATAAGAGGAGTTGAACAAGGTAGAAAATTTTTACAGGTTGAGCACTGAAAAGTGCTGTTTAAATTTGTTGTAGCTTTAGGTAGTAGTAACACTTCCTTCAGCAAAAAGCAAATAGATCCGCACGGCAAGAGAGCACGATGCGGACTGACGATGTTTGTTCTTTTTTTCTCGTTTTCTACGGTAGCAAAAACAGATTGTTGTATTTTATGCTGATCATGCTACCGCCCAAACCGATAGAAGACGTTTCTAACTTGAATATAGGGCCCTACTATGTAGTAGTGGCCAGAAATGACGCTTGACTTGACTTACGTAAAAGTTTAATAAGATTCTCTACAGAAAATTGTTAAAGTTACTTATTAGTGAAAATTAATTGTGGAATGCTTCTTATATGATTAAACTTTATTTATAGTTCTTAATAGAAGATCTCCTAATTTTGAGTGATTTAGACTTGGATTGATTCCAAAGATAGCCAGGTCTAGTAATAAAATTGAATCCTAACTAAAGCAGACCATCATGAGTACACAATTACGAAAAAAGCAATAAAAATTCACAATCTAAACTAAGAGAAGTAAAATTACACGATCGTTGAAAATTCCGCGATGATTGTTTGTAATTATACATGACTCAAAAAAGTAGCATGTGAATTTCAGAGCAAGTGTAAAATTATCCATGAAAAATCATGGAAAAATCATCGAACTGTATAGATTTCATTTGATTTGAAATACTACCAGTTTTTTCAAAATTTTGAATTCCTCTATTTCGAAACCTGCTTTTCGAAATTTTGCTGTTACACATTTAAAAACATAATACTTTAGTAGATCTTGAAGCATTTAAATTTCAGCAATTGATTATAATTTATTTAAATTATGTGTACTCAATTTGTGTACCGTTTTACAACGTACAATTTCATCTTGGAATGTAGTTTTTGGATACACAGAATTTTTTTAAATTTTAACTATCGCGTAAAATCATCTCTCGTTTAATTTTGCGTTACAGTTGGCATAAACAACGGAATCGTTTACAAGCTTGCATGCAATATTGCTAATTTAAGCGATATTGTGCTTAAATTTACACGAAATATCGTGTAACTTTACTCCAAATCTAGCGTTTACTTTATGTGCGCTATATCTCGTATAAATTTAGATGAATTTTTCAAACGGTGTAAATGTAGTTTTCGAATTAATTTTGTTTGGTCGAGAATCTAGAATGAAAAGAACAGTTCTTACTATCATCACATCAATGAATTTTTATTTTATATTGCTTATGATTAGAGTAATTTGCCAATTGTATTATTTGCATTGAAATTCTATTATTTCACACATCTTATCTAATTATTACACACCCATAAAATATGGTTAAATGCATCTTTTTTTAAAATGCGTTTATTTTTTCAGGCTCATTTGCCGTAGCTTTGCGGAGCTGATATTCATCGTTTGGGTTACAAAATTACTTAAAACTAACGTTAGTAAAGCGAGGGTCGATTACTCGCGGCTATCTAGAGGTTAGGGGTAACAAATTGTAACATACGGATGGCAGGGTAGGGATTGAGAACACAAGGTTTTTTCGAGTAATGTGCTCTTGATCTAGAACTAAGCGAAATACTGGAGAAAAATACGAACACGGGGGTACACCGATGGGGACCTAGCAACTTGAGAGAACACAAGATGGCACTAACTACTAAATCCTCAGATCAATCCGTTTTAAAAACACATAAATTAAATTAAAATAATCGAGATCTCGGCTCGCCAAGATGTCTCCTCGGGCCCTGAGGGATGCGGATAACTCGGATCTAGCAACACAATGGAGGGTGCATGACCAAAGAACGTGGTCGATATCGTGATAGCCACTACAGCAAAAATGCACCTTAAAATGAATGTTTTCAGCATCATTCAGATTAAACGGAACTAGCCGTTTTATATCAAACGGTGCATACATTTAGGCGTTATCTCTATAGACAATAACAATTGAACTCTTGATCCAATATGTGATCCAATTATTGAACATTATTACTATATATGTAAATTGTGCATGGTGGTTTTAGATATTCATCGATAGATACAATAATAACCAACATTTTCCAGCAAAGATTACTTCATTTAAATGCATTTTGAGCTAGTTATAGCTTTTTTACAACTGAGGATTATTAGCTGACAAATTAAGAAATCGCCTGAAATCATATGCAGCACAATGTCAAAAGCAGTGTTGGAAAAATATAAAAAAATCAATTCTCACCAACGCCCAAGATCACGCTTGATTTTCGTGGTCAAAAATCAACAAGCAAACAACTGCGGTTGATTTTGCAAGCTGTGGTATCGCAGCTCGGAATATCAAACTAACAAAACTCACCAGCTGCAAATCTCAGCAAGCTGTGGTGAGTGCGAAACCGAACTTTTTGTCAGTGCGAACCTCAACCTGAGGTAGGTTTTAAAAACAAACGATCAAACTGACGTTTGTCAGAATACAAGCAGACCCAATCTTGATACCCGATCCAGGTTGGAACTGAATAATAAACAAATTCGCTATGAGTTTCATAGTTTTTGCATTACACCCGAATGCAACCGAAACTCCCATAACGGCTGGCAGCAGTCGCTTCGTGTCTGCCATCGGTGAAGAGTAAAAAGAGATAGCATACTATACTTTCTCTTTCTAAGTAAACGATGTGCAACGGAATCATTTTTGTGTCGAGTCAACTCGCAGCTTGATTTTTGCACGTTGTGAATAGTCTCGCAATATCAAAGGAGCTTGTAAAATCAATATCAAGCATGATATTTTGTTCCAATATCACGCGTGATATTGCGTGCACATGAGAGCGGAAAAATATCAATTGATTTCTGATTTTGCCAACACTGGTCAAAAATACTTACAACATGTTCTATCACGATATTTCTTATATGTACTGAATATCAAAATCACATGTTTAATCATTCATCAATTGATCACTGATTAGCATGTCACCATGATTGGTAAACTTTATGGTCATAGATAAATGCGGCATAGTAAACAATGTGAAGTGTGCAACAATTGGGTGGAATGCAACAATTGGAAAATTACCCTAGCGCTAAATGTTACGGACTGGTTGGTCTAACACTTGGTAGCCGTTGTGCTGTTGCACATGGGGAAAACCGTTTTTCCTTGAAAATCTCCAGCAGTAAAAATAATCCACCCATTCTCCTTCATTTTACGTTTCTGCATTTTAAATCGAATCTCTCAGAAATTACTCAGTAATAGTCATTTGCTTTTACTTGCGTCTGGAGGTGAACAATAAACGAGAACGAAGCGATAATTAAATCATCTCTTGATTAACACCTTCCAAGTAAACAGCAACGCCTCTGGATCGGGTTGTTTGCATTAATTGATGACGTTCACACGAAATCACGCTTTGATAACGCACACGAGACAGAACAAACAAAAATGCCTCCAGCTTTTCCAAAAAAAAAAACAAGACTGCAAATCACATGTTGTTTGCTTTTCTACCCTCTAGTATTCTAGAGAAAACACATCCGCATCCACAAACCTAGTTAGAGCGACGAAACTTACGACAGGGAAAAGCATGTCCACCACCATATCCGGAGTGACACATTTCGGTTACATTTTGACACTACCATAGTTTCCCGGTATTCTAATTGGTGCAACTTCGTACTGCTCCGAATCCAGAACGATCATTCAGTAGTTATGAAACGGCACTAATGACGTTCGAAAAAAGGCGATAAACGCACTCATCTGGATTCCGTCACGAACCGGACCGAAAATATTCACATATCACGCGAAAGAATAAAATTGATGCGACGTAGGACCTTGGAATTCCCCAAAAAGTACAAAACCACTCGCGTACGAGGATGGCCCTCAACTGATAGCACGATGTAAAAAGTGCGGCGAATTTACCGCGCCGCCGCTCATCTTCATCATCATCAGTCGGTGTCGGTCGGCTTCGTCGTCATCCAGCCGTCGTTGGTGCTGTAAAAAGCCATGCACGCAGGGAAATGAACATAGGAAAACCAAAATGCAAACATTATGAAAACTCAAAAATGAGGGAGAAAAATCTATCTTAATTCACTTATGCGTTTCATATAAGACATCTAAGTTTTCATTATTTGGACATAAGTCATTCATGCGCCACAGGTTTGAATTTAATAATGCGCTATTTGAAATTTGGCAGAGTGTTTATTTGGAAAAAAAATCACACGGAAATTTTAAGATGGAAGTGGTTATCGAAGAGCAAGCCTATTGTTTGACGTTTATAAATGGTAAGTATTTAATATATATAATATCACGACAATATAGCAGTATTTCGTAACAAATTGATAATGTCTTCAATAGGAATCTGTTATACCATATAACGGGATTGCTAACCGTAACCGAGGAATATTTCAAAAGCAACCTGGAATCGTTGGCCAATTTTTGGGTAACTGACAAATCGTGGCGTTGGATTTTGGATTGGAGACGGTGACATGTAAGTTATCTATTTTCTCCATTCCTCGAAATCTTCGTTAATTAACATCTAGCATCTCGATAATATAATTCCGCCTGTGCAGCAACCGGAAGAAGAAATTCAGTTGACGAACAGCTGTCAGACGTAGCTGGCAAAGAAAGCAGCAGTGCGTGCTGCATCATCGTGAACGTTGAGGAACCAAACTCCAACCATATAATTGATAACGTATATAATTTTTAATGATTTGATAAATTCTGAAATTATGCATTACGTTTTTCATTCACTTGATGACAGAGTTCATAATGTATAAAATATAAGTGTGTTAAGCTATGCATTATTATGATTTAATTACCAAATTCATAAGAAATGCCTATGAACAGAGTTTCCCTAGAAATTCATGAGAACTGATTGTGGTTAAATTTCAAAGGGTATTTGAATGAATTTCTTATGTGCACTTACCTGCGTGTGGGGTTCGTGGGATTCGTCTCACATCACAACAGTAGTCACTATACCGAGTCACAGTCACTGGCTAGTACCAGACAGCGGGTTGAGACTAAATTGAGAAGAAGAGAGCTCTCTCGGAGTCACCATCTCTGCCTCCATAGGGCACCAACTTTATGTTTATCGTTTGGCCTAAAGTGTATAGGGAAGATATTATGACTGCTAAACACATATGAGATATGAGATTTTCCAATCTTCTCTTGCTCTGAGATAACGACGTTATCGTATCATCTGATGGTAAATGGTAGCGTTTTCTCATTTCCATTGCGTCTTTATCAATATGTATACATGCATATATGCATATACCGTAGTTTGGGGGTACATTGATCAAATTTGTTTTCGTAATTATCTTAATTGATTTCTACATAAAGATAAATGGACAACTTCTTCTACTTATGCCGAGATGAACTAGCCTATGGCTTAATAATATTGTGAGTACATGCAGGGTCGACATCTCGAGATCCTTGCTAGATAAAAAGCTGATGTTTTCTACAATGTCGTTCGTGAGGCTAATACCATTTGAATTTAGGACAGTTTAGATCGGAATTCTCTCACTAGTGCTCTTATGAATTTGGTGTAAATGCTGGGTCGATATCTCGAGAATCTTGCTATATACAAAGTTGCTGTTTTCTGCATTGTTGTTCAGAAAACTATGACCCTTTGAATTGTTGACAGTTTAGTTTGGCATTCTCTTGCTAAGTATCATTAGTATTCATATAAACTTCATATACATGCAGGGTCGACATCTCGAGATCCCTGTTAGATACAAAGTTTCTGTTTTCTGCAATGCTGTTCAGAAGATCAAGGCCTTTTGAATTGTTGATAGTTTAGTTCGGAAACCTGTCGTGTAAATGCTGGGTTGACATTTCGAGATCCTTGCTAGATACAAGTAGACTCATTAAATTTGTTTTGATCATATCCGTTCAAAAAAGAGAGTTAAAGCGCGGATTGTTCCTAGTAGGGTGGAAATTAGATCAAAACCCCTATTGATGTCTTCTTTGAAACCATAAGTTGAAAATTAGTTCAAATGCTGTGGTAATTCGTTTTAGGTGTCGATGAATAATTTTTGATACTTTATCATTTTTGGGACGTTATTTCAACTTATCGTTTGTATTGTTGAAATTATTTAGTGCAGCTGAAAGTTGTTGGTTTTCTTTGAAAAAAATATTTATAAGAATTTTAAGACCTATTTTCAATTTTATACATACGACTATGAAGGACAATCTTAGCTTTGAAATGAAACTGGTTTTATTAAAATCGAGTGACATTTCACTTAGTAATCGACTATAACACAATTTTAGACACAAAAAATATGGAAAATTCCTTACTTTTACCTCAAACTACCCAACAATGATTCGTGACGTGCACTACCACCTAGGTATTCGAATTCTAGTTAAAAAAAACTAGCTTCTGAAGTATAAATATCCCATCAAATCCAGCGGCATTTTGAAATATTAAATTAAATGCCTTTATTTGAAATCCCATTGTGCATTGTCACGCTACCGGGAGGCCCCTATTAAATCGTATATATATGTGGTAGCTAAAATTCGAAGCAATGCTCCATTTTCCCCCGATGACCGATTTGGCTCCAATCTACGGTACATGGATGCTGAATCGTGTAATAGTCCCCAGCGGAGAGAATTTCTGTATAAAAAATCCCTAAAGGACGCTTCAGAAATGCATTTTTAATCAATGTACACGCAATAATAGGCGAGGTCTGATTGTACCCGAGGCGAGGATAGATAGATTGCGCAAAATGTGAAATGATGAAAATTTTCAAGAGCACTCGCCCTGAATCTATTCACGCACACGATGAATGAGTGAACCCCAGGTAACAATCAAATGCCTTGGTAGATTTATTCTTTTTATTCTGTGGAAATTTTCCATCATGGCAATTATCTGTGGAGGCGAGCTTAGTTGATTCGACTGAACCTCCACAGAGATAACAATGGGTGTCACAAGGATCCAATTTGTTGATTATAATACTGCCGAGGTAATGAATTTCAACAATTCAAACCCAATGATCGTTTATTTTTTACAGACCCTAATTCCCCTCTATGTTTTCATTCTCACAATCTATAAACAGAAACATCTGTAATCCACAGGCCTTCTATCGGACCAAACAATTTCACAGGTTCCACCGGTATATCCACTTTGGACACAGCTCCGCTTGCAGTCGATCGGGTCACAATCGGTCCAACTTTTGCTTGCTATCGGGGTATCCATATAAAAAAAATTAGGAAACACTAAAATGAAACTAAAATAGTAATAGGGAAAAGTTTTTTTTACCCAAGTCTATTTGTGATGCAACCGACAGCTGGATGGTGACGATCAGGAATGGCATCAGGAAAAGCCATTTCATTTTGGGCTGTTATTTTTTGGAAAATCAGGAGTTCCAGCAAGTCGACTTGCTACCCATTCCTTAAGTACTCTGTTCTCTTGAGCTACTGCAAAGCCACAGAATAATTACGGCAAGCGGAAAACTATTTGGCCGTGCAAAATTTCCCGATAATCGTAATTGGTGTGATGCCGTTGTTGTTGTTGAGATTATTTGCTCTAGTTTGGTTGAAGTACATGTTTGTTTGTCAGTATATTAGTAGCGTTATAAAATATAAATGAAAGTTAATGTTGATTACACAAATTAAAAACATACTCCGGAGTATAGATACTATAGATTCCATAGATAAGCGGAGGAAAAGTATAATATAGCCAAACGAACTGTCAGTTATTGTAGCCAAACGAGCATGACGTCATCATTGTGTTGTTTAAGGGAGAAGTATTGTAATATTATGAGCACAAAACGCTTTCCACACTCCACATTCCGATTTATTTCGCGGACAACGGAACAAGGAAAGATAAAGTATAAACTATTCCTCGATTCATTGTTGCAAAGATTTGCTTTGCACTTCATTTTGAACTTTTACGCACGAAACAAAACAAACTGCACAACGAAGAGCTGTATGATGGCATGAACTTTTTTTCACGAATGCCAGTAAGATCATTTATTTTTCATGGTTGTCAAAACAACTTTTTGTGCCTCCGCTTATCTATGGAATCTATAGTATCTATACTACAGAGTAGTAAAATGAGCATCATTTGTAAATTCACTTCACACTGAAACAGGGAAAGTAGGTAAAGACGGACACACTTCTCATAATTCATGAATAAAAGTACATATTATGTAGTATTTTTTTTATTATGTACACGGTAAGAAAAAAGTACCCGACGGCCATTTGACTTTTATCTACTCTTGACTAGCTTGTCTCCTTTTCTCCTTCAAATATTGTCGAAAACGGAGGAGCAAAACCACCCAATAGGGGTAGTAAAGTGTGGGAACCCAACGTTGCGTATAATCACAGACAAACAGACATAACACTTACAATCACATTCATCGCAAATAATCTTTTAGTTAGGAATGTGCTTGCATTTGTCATGGTGGCGCCACGGAAGCATTGAGCAAGCCACCACATTTCGAAGTTATCAGTGAGGCCAGCTCTTTTTCACGTCTAGTTAGTAGATGTCAGCTCTTGAAAATAATAAGTGGTTAAGGCATCCCACTGGAGACACATACCACATCTGACGAATACAGAAACAAAGTTGTTGAATTTTACATAAAAAGTGCTTCTCATTAGTTATTCCGTTCCTAATATTACGCTGTACGATTGACACAGAATGCGAGAACAAATCATATTGATGACTGTAATATTCTAACAACTTTTACCCCTTTTACCAGTTATTGATGTTCAATACTTCACCATGAATTTCATTGATTGATACATATTATATTCAAAATGTTTTATGTTACTTCATACGCGAAGTTAGCGATTTTCAGAGTTGGAGTGTTATAATGCAATTCTTCTTTACCCAACTATTGTGTTGCTCCTCTCGTCATGACCAACGTGGTCATCTCAGAGAGAAAGCAGTAGGGTGGTTGTTG